GCCACTACCATATCGACATTATGGTTGCCATCAATCATTTTAGTATGCTCCTTATCACCATCATTATTATCAAAATATTCATAATATTAATAATAATAATAATAATAATAGGCCATAATAATACTAATAATAATAATAATAATAATAATAATCATCTTCGTCATTTATCTACTTTACCTCATTTTTTAACTTGGCATCTGCTCCATTTGTTAATAAATAACGTGTTGCATCTGTGTGATCTCGGTATGAATGGTTAGCTCCTAACAACTTGTGAAGTGGAGTATTGCCGTCCTGTAACACAATTGAAAACAGTGTTAATCAGTGAGAGCTCATAATCATACAAATGATTGAAAGCATAATGTGAATAATAATCCAGACACAGTCAACACCTCTGTAAACAAGAAAAATGATGCCATCTAAAACATTACAGTTAAAATTTAGGTAAATATAACCAACTTGTACTTTGTATAAAATACATTTTTCATTACAATTTTCATTCAATACAATAATTCAAAAGTACTATCATGTTATACTAAAAATGTCCTTTATGATGATTATTCCATTCTATTCAATTTATTTTATTGCTGCATTTTTTCATCATAAGAAATTAGGCCAAACAAAAAAAGTTATTGTGTTGGCTACAACCAATCGAACCAAAATGTTCGAAAATTGAGGGTCATCATTTTATTTTATTACTTACTACAATGAAAAATATATTCAATGAGCTAAGAAATGTGGAATAAGCTTATCTTGCAACGGTAGGCGATGCAACAGTGATGCGATTATTTTACTCTTCAATATAGATTTTAAAATCGTGTTTGTTGTATTTTTAATATATTTTCTACTTTTTAGGCATAAACACATTATCGGTCAAAAAAAAAAAAATCCTACCGAACTACCCATTTTTTTTTTAGATCTTGCCAAAATGTGGCCAACAAAAGAATTTTTTAATGCCATTATCACACAGCATTTAGGCTACATGGGGAAATGCATTGATAATAATGCTACTACTATAGATAATAACACGAATACTAATAGATGTGTTTATTTATAAATCATATAATACCAAAATACTGATATATTATAGAGAAATAAAAAATATGACAATGGCAGTAATAACAGTAATGATAATAATAATGACAAAACAAACTTCATTTATAATGAAGTTTATTTTGGTCAATAATGCATACTGTAATAAAATTAAAATAATAAAGTTTATGCTCGTATGTGTTTTTATGCATAAGTTTAACCTTCGTATATTATAATATAAAACTACACTGATTGTTTTATA